CTGCGCTTATTCACAACTCTGCAGGGAAAAAAAGCCACAGCTTCTTCTTCGCTTTCTTCCCCCACTTCTCCATAAAAAGGTTCTCCTTCACTTTGGATACTGCCTCTCCATCTCCCCTCATGATCTGCACCACTCAGGATGTAAAAGCTGTGTGTAAATAGGAGCTGGCACGTCGGGTTTGGTCTGGATGGGAGTGACCTTTTGTTTATTCAGCTCGAAGCCGAAACACTCTCACGACTTTAATTACAGAGCAGGTATTGCTGATGCGTGATCCTGGCCATCTCACAGAATTCCCATGTGTGTAGGTGGGCTTTCACTCAGGCTTGTGGGCTGGTTATTTTTACCTTGTCAGGGGTTTTTTCCTCCTCTGCTTGTGAGGAGAGTATTGAGCTTCAGTGGTGCAACAGTGGTGCCCGGGAAATAGGAACGGGAGGTGTTCAACTAGCAGTGGGTAAGTGTTGATGGATAGACAGATAGATAGATAGATAGATAGAGTCCTCAGGGGGGGGAAATCTCTCCAGCAGGTCCCTTGGCACAATTTTTTCTTGAATTGGCATCTGGGGAGCTCGAGGAGGATGCCATCTCCCCATGGCACCTCTGACAGCAGTGAAGTTGTGGACCTGTACACTTGATAAACATCCTTCAGAAAAGCTGCACCAGTACTGGAGGGATAATGGGCATTTTTTGGCTGAGAAAGAAGCAAAGCAACTTGTTGCTCTCTTTGTGGAGGACAGGTATTGAGCAGATTTATCTTTCTGGTTGTAGAAAATGGTTGCATTTCCCCTTTTGTATCTGTAAAATTAGTGTTAGTAGGAGCATGGTTAAATCCAGAAGTGGACATAAGGTCCATTGTTCATGTGACTGGAGGTGAATGTGGGAATGTGTCCAGACGTTTTAGCTTTGCAACTTGGGTGTTTCCTTCTCTGTTACAGGTGAACAACCAGCACCTCTTGATTTCATTTCATGGTGTCATGGGCAGTCCCATCCTTCTGTCCCTTAATTTGTCCATCTCATGCTTAAAACTATTTGGATTGTTGTTTAGCTCCACTGTGCTTTCTGTGACTTCTTCCCTTTGATCTCCTTTCTTAGCCAGTGCCTTCTCTGTCGTGCCAGCTGTGATCTTAGCAGACCAATGCCCTGAACTACGCGGTGCAGTCAACAAAAGTCCTTCTGAATTCTTCCCTACGACCGAACCCTCTGTGCCTGTCCTTGAAGCACAGCCAGCCCTGCTGTGCTCCTGTCTCCTCCTCCTCCTCCAGAGACCTGGAGTTCATCTGACTCCATGTCTTTGACCGTCGCCTTCCGCCCGCCATCCTCTTCCTCCATCCACTCTAACTCCAGTCAAGTGCATAAACTTCAAGCTGGTGACTGATTTTCCTCCTGCCAGCACTTCATAGCAGCGTGACCCAGCCGTGCCTCTCTTCAGTGGCCTGACACTGTCTGAAATACATATTCTCTCTCTTTTATACTCCAGTCTGCAGATGACTCTGTGTTCTGTGCTCTCCTGCTACCCAGTATATTCTCTGCCCGTCACCTTTATCCCCCAGACCTCTCCTGGTTTAGTTTTTCTTCCCAGGGACCCAGCTGTTCTCCCCCTCTTTGTTGTCCCCAGCCTTCTGTTCTTGTTCTGCATCACGTCAAGCCCTTTTGTCAGCTTTTCTTTCCCAGTCGCTGCTGTTTCTCCCCGTCCCTCTTGGGATCTCACCTTCCATGGTCTCACTGCTCCCAAAGGTGCCCTTTTTCAGCAGGTCTTTGAGAACTCAGATTGTCTCATTCACACTTCATCTCTGTCCGACCGTACATGAAGATGCCCCATCTGGACCCCTCTCAGTTCTTTCCATCTTGTTTCTGGAGCTCAGCTCCTCTCTCTGAGTCGAGGAAAATAGTTGTGCACAAGCACATCCCCTTTGTTCTTACATTTCATTGTCTCCATCATCTGCTCCAGCCTTTGGATCTCATCCACCAGAAATGTCCCTCGTGCACTTCCCTCCTACTTGTGCACACACACCCCAAAAAATAATAATACCAGGAAGATTAAGGGTCTGTAAACTCTTTCTTTGTGCCTCTGTTTGCTTGGCTGCCTTGCCTGCCCCCCTGCCTGTTGCCCAGGCGAGCCCTGCCCTCCCCCTGAAGGTTGGCCCTTGAGTATCCATCAGAACCAAGGAAAGGTGGATGCCTTCTTCATGGACCTGCTTGCAAACCAGTCAGACCACCGACTGCACGGACTGAAAGAGCAAGAGGGGAGCAGGCAGAGGCATGGAACCCACATGTGGGACCCTGCTCCCTCCTCCCCTGCTGGAAATCCCAGCAGGAATAGGGTGGCACCATCTTATTCTTTAAGATGCTTGGGACTTCCCTTGGGGAGCTCCCTGGTGGTTTATGTGGATGCTGTTGCTTTCTCCCTGGAGGTGTTTTGTGTGCTGGAAGTGACAAATTTACAGTATTGGAGAGTTTTTATTCCTGCTTTTGTCCTATGTTTTATTCTCTGCAGGCCTTTTTACTGTAACGTGGCTGTGATGGTGTTACAGGATAAAAACCTGTGGCATTTTACACCAAATCACTGTAAACCAGGACACCCAGCAAAAATTAGCTCAGCACAGAGCTTGGTGATGCTTCTGGGCTTAGAACTGCAGGTCTCATACTGATAAACAGACACTTGACTTGCAAGATGAACCTTTCCACAGCAACCCTGGATCAACCCTTACCCCTCAACCTGCTCCCTGGGGGTTGAACACTGACCAGGGAGGAAAAATTCCATTGTATCCTGATGTGCATTATATATTTAGATGCTTGAAATGTTGCCATGTGGATATACTGTGGATATAAATCTCACTAAATATTTAAATGGTGATCATACTCCACGGCCTTTCTAGGACTGAGCCTGTTCTCATGACAGGGCCTTTCCCCCTTTACTTTGCATGACTCCAGGGAGACCTTAGAGCCCCTTCCAGTGCCTAAAGGGGCTCCAAGAAAACTGGAGGGGAACTTTGGGCAGGGACACAGAGTGACAGCAAAAGGGAGAACGGCTTCCCCCTGTCAGAGGGCAGGGTTAGATGGGATGTTGGGAAGAAATTCCTCCCTGGAAGGGTGGGCAGGCCCTGGCACAGGTTGCCCACAGAAGCTGTGGCTGCCCCAGCCCTGGAAGTGTCCAAGGCCAGGTTGGACAGGGCTTGGAGCAACCTGGGCTAGTGGAAGGTGTCCCTGCCCGTGGCAGGAGGTGGAACTGGATGACCTTCAAGGTCCCTTCCAACCCAGACCGTTCTGTGATACCTCAGGCAGCAACCAGCCCCTTCCCCAGCAGCCACACTGGCTCATGTGGTCTCTGGTCTCTTGAGAATCCACTGGTTCTCCTAAGGCTTATGATATTTTATTAATATTTTCATTAATAGATCTTTTAAAAACTTAATTTATTAATATTTCTATTAATTAAGATACATTTAACAGGCAGGAGATATTATCAGGGAGGCAGGGAGCTGCAGCCTGTCACTGGAAGACACAGAGCAGCTTTCCCACTCCGACATTAATCTCCTCCAAGCTGCATGGAGATAACTCTGATCTGTGCTCTGGCTTTTCGAGTAGCTCCTGTTCCAACATGTCAGTGATGCTGCAGCTTTTCTGGCCGTGGGGGGAGCTGGGGGGGTGGGGAAGGGAGGGGTGGGTGCTGGCAGGAGAGGGGTCTTACCACAGCAAACCGCCCGGCACGGAGGGCTTTGAAATGGGGATTTGCATCAAAGGAAAACTCTCGGGGTTAGTTAAATATTCCTCTAAATATGCAAAGGAATGGAGTTACTGATGCTTGTTATTCTTATCTTACTCTTGGTGTCACAACATCTTTAAGTTCAGTGAAGGTTTCACTTACTAAGGCGGTTGTAAAGATTTCACGTTAATTAAGAGGACTCCACTGCAAATCTGAATATGAATGAAGTTTGGCTGCTGAACCCCAGGGCAGTGAGCACTGTGGGAACAGCAGACATTGACAAATGTTGATTTTTAAAAAACAAACAAACAAACAAAAACCCAGAAAAACACCTAAACCAAGTACCTGTTCTGTGAGAGAGAAAAAATAGAGTTCGAGTTGCCAGAAGGAAATAAAATAGATTTTTACTTGAATTTGTGGTAAAAGAGGTGAAATTCTGTCTATGAGAGCACTGATGAGGGTTCTCCTGTGCCACTGGAGCCCGGAGTTCAGACACATTACTCTGTCACACCTGCTCCCTCTCCCTAGGCAAGGTTTTCATGGGTGGGGGGATCTTCAGGGGAGAAAGGGGAAAATTCTGGGCTTGATCCTGATCTCATTGCTTTGATGAAGTCCCATCAAGTCCAGTCAGCCTTGACTGGTGGTCATCCACGTGAGGTGGAGCTTCACCCCGTGGGGACAGTGCAGGCAGTTGTAGGGGCCTGGGGAATGAGGCTTCTGAGGATGGAGCTCTCGTGATGAAGACATTAGAAATATTTGTTCCCCAAAACCTGCCTTTTGGGGGGAGTTTTTCATACCTGCCAGCACTTGGAAGAGCAGTAGCTGAGAGGGCGAGCAGTTGTCACTTGGGTATCCGTGTTTCTCTTCCAACTCCAGTGTAGACTTGCTGTTGATGAACTGGGGTGAGTCCTCCTCTCTTCATCTCTCCACTCATCCATCTGGAGATGGGTGAGCTCACCTGGCTGGACAGAGGTGACCTGCCTTTGCAAAGCAGTTTTGGGGGATGTGAAAGGTGCTGCAGAGGTGCCAAGCACTGCTCCACCTGCCAGGGAAGGACTCTGGGGGATGAAACGGTGACACACAACATTTTAACCTTGCTGGAATGCACTAGACTTGGCTTTTGGAGTGGGAAGTGACAGTCCAAGAGCCATAAATAAATTTGATTTGTCCTCTTAAGAAGGGTAGGGGCAGCACGTGAGGTGGTGTTGGGGGGGTGTTTTGTTGTTGTTATTTTCTATTCACGGTTCCTTGAGCTGATGGTGGGAATTGCACTGACTGTGGTTGTGTTTCTGGAAATGTGCAGGTTGGCCAGATGCAGTGGAGCATGGAGTGAACAGAAAGAGGTTAAATTGATGGATGACCAACAAGAGCAGGATTGTGCCTCAGAAGACCAAGAAACTATCCTGATTAATGGGGTGAAAGAAAATGGTAAGGAACTTAATTACGGTACATGAGGGAGCAGCGACAACTTGCAAGCCAACTTATTTTCCTAATTCCTTGTGTGTGTTTAATTTTAGCAGTTTGTGGGTATCTCTGCAATGGGGAGCAGTGAGGTAAATGGGTGTTTTCTGCCCAGGTGTCACTCCTGCCATCAATCTACACCTTTTTAAGTCTTAACAAGTACTGCTTTTGCCCGTGCGTGGACATGGCTGGAAAAGCTTCTGTGCACACACAGTTTGAATTAGAGATTTTAGTCTGGTTTCTTAGGGGGGAAAAAAATCATCCAGGACTATGTAGCCCCTCTGTCTGTTGGGAATCTTTCCCTCTCTCATCACTTATGAACCCACTATCCCATATGAGCAAAATTTTACTGGAAGATACTTAGTGCTAACAAATGGGGTCAATTACAGATTGGGTAGAAGGAGCAAAGCAGGATGGTTTGTTTCCCATGGGAAGAGAAGTCGGACTTTTGAGCTCCCATAACCTCTCTTCTGCACACACACTGGTGCCACTGGGAGCCACCAAGTCATTCCAGCTCCCTCCGGCATCGGAGGGGAAGGATCAGCCCCTTCCAGCAGCCTGCCCAAAATGCCCAACTTTGCCTGTATCTGTTCCATCGATTCCATGCTTGCTTTCAAAATAACTAATTAGAAGTAATAGTGCTCAGCTGTTTGAAACCCTGATTGAAATAAATGTGCCTCTGAGCAGTTTCCCAGGTCACGTGCACTGTAGTCACTGGCCACAGGAAATGCAGAGGGGAGGCAGAGCCTGACATTTTCACTCTCTCAACATGTTTTCTGTTTAATTTCATGGCTTTTTACATTTTCTATTGGCCTATAAATCTTGGGAGATATATTTATTTATATATAAATTTGATCCTGTTAGATATCAAGGGCTTGGTCATCTGACACGCTGTATATTCAGGTCCTTCTGTCAGCTTCAAACAGGGTGTGTGGAGACAAATGTTGTTCTTGTCCAGTACCAACAACCTGGAGCAACTCCAGACACACAGGTGCCCGTGGGGACCCTGCAACACGTGCTGGTGGTGTAATTTGAGAGGTTTCTGTCTCCTTCCTGACTACACATGGTAAATCCACAGCTGCTGGAGCTGCTGAAGCTGCAAGGGGATTTTCTAGCTATGATCTCCTTGTCTGATCCCATGGACAGTAAAATCAGTGCTTCCCTGCTCAGTAAGAGGGGTGATTTCTAGCCCCTGATACCACATCCATGGTATTCAACTAAACAGGGCTTAAAAAGTGTTTTATTTAGACATAGAATCATTGAACAGTTTGAGTTGGAAGGGACCTTAAAGCTCATCCTGTTCCACCCCCTGCAGGGACACCTTGCACCAGCCCAGGTTGCTCCAAACCCCGTCCAACCTGGCCTTGGGCACTTCCAGGGCTGGGGCAGCCACAGCTTCTCTGGGCAACCTGTGCCAGGGCCTGCCCACCCTCCCAGGGAAGAATTTCTGCCCAATATCCCATCTAAACCTCCCCGCTGTCAGTTTAAACTTCCAGTTTAAACCTTGGTGTGTAGGAGTTGCTGCTGAATCCAAAGCAGTGAGCCAGCACTCTGGTGCCACCACCTCCCCTTGCCCATGTGCTTTTGGGTGGATATTGAGTTAAACTGGGAAAAGTGTTTTTGCCTCTCAGCCTTCTCTGTGTGAACTGCACTCTTTTGGAGCATCGGTGGAACATACGCCTGATTTTAGGCCGATAGGGAGCCCTAGAAAATCAAGTTTTGGCATTTGTATTTCACAAGAGTTAAGTTCACTCATACAAGTATAAACCTAAAGAAACGCCCAGAGACAGTTTATTTTATATAATAGCAGCTCTGCCTATTGACTGCAGCATTCCAGACTGAATTTCAGCTTTCTGCCTCCCCCTTCTTTGAGTCTTACAGCATTCACAGACACTCTTCTTTTATCCTCAAATTTACCATGCTTCCTGTCAGCTCCAAGCTGATTTTTATTTTATTTTACTTCTGAAGTGGAACTGCACTGGTTAATTTGTTTTGGTGCTTAAGGAAAAAGATACCACCTCTGCATTTTTCATCTGAAAACTGGTGGGAGGGACTCAAAAATCAGCTTTTTTATTTATTTCTTTTTTTTTTTTTTTAACCCTTTCCAAGCAAGCCAGTCTGGTCTTTTACAAGTCGTGCATGTTGAAGATGCTTACATTGTCCTTCTGGTTGGATTTATGGAGTCTTTGGAAAGTGCTTTAAAGTCCTCAGGCCACCGTGTGGTTCTGGCTGCAGCTTGTACTTTGCTCAGGCTTCGCTGGTGGGTGCATCCCTAAGGCCCCCACAGCACAAAACTGCTTTGGGGGTGGGATTGGGGGGTTTCTGATCTCCTCTAAGTTTGTGCCTACACAAACCTTCCCTTTCCAGAATGCCAGAGATTCAGGAGACTCGCTTTCCTTTGCTTTGGGAGTAAAAGCACTTGTGGCAGGGTTGCAGCAGCCAAATCCCTTTGGATCCCCCATTTAATGCCGCATCCTGGTGCTCCGGTTGTGGTTTAAAGTGTTTGTTCCTCCTGGGAAAGCCTCGTGGCTTCCATTCTCCCCCTCTGCCTTCAGTGGAGCCACCAAAAAAGGAAAGACATGAGCCATGACAAAGGCCCCGGGCTCAGAGTCAGCACAGGTCTCTGGCTGGGATGAATGCACTCATTGGAATATATTTTTTTAATACAGAGATATCAGAGCGTGTTCGTGGATGAAAAGACGTCGTATTTAAATTTCAAGGGTCATGTCGTCCGTTGAGCCAGAAGTCAGATAAAAGTACATTCATAACTTTATTCTGCCATAAAAGAGCACGACGAGGTAAAACTGCAAAAATCCTTAGGTAAAAAAAAAAAAAATCCTTACATTATTAGAAAGGCACTTTTAGAGATTAGGGAAAAATGGCAAAACTCACAATAATTCTAACAATAATTGCTTTAAACTCTGTGTTATCTTCTGCCTTCCCTTGGCATGGACAGTGACAAAAAGGCCACTGGGTTTTTAAAATCAGCTGTAACTTTCTGTCTCTGGAGCAGAAATGCAGCTCAGGTGTGTGTAAGCTCAGGCACCACGGGGGCAGTGGTGGCGGGGGGTGGGGGAGCGGAAATGATTTGTTTCTTCTTTAAGAATCTTGTTTTTCTGTTAATTTTTTTCAATGTTAATGGGAACATTTTTATTAGGCTTGTTTTGTTTTTTTAATAACCTTGTCAGGTTTGAGAGGCAGTATCCAGGTAACGGTATGAATATGAGGAGGGAAGAGTGGATGGGTTGGGTTTTTCAAACGTGCTCTTGTACCTCTTCCAGCTGGCTGCAGAGGGGAGCGTGTTTACCTCTCCCTTCCGTGCACATCCCCACGTTAATTGGATCCAGGAGGGAAGGACTGCGCGCTCGTGGGAAGGGCGTGTGCTGCTTCCCAAAGGAGCAGTGGGGAAAAGTCACCACCAAACTCTGGGAGAAGGGGAGCGGGGTGGCAAACCCCGGGGACGTGCAAGGGTAGTAACCCCTCTCTCTTTGTCTCGCTTTCCTCCCTCCCCGTTCCCCGTTCCCCCAGAGCCGCACGCCCTGGGCGGCGATGAGAGGCCCTGCAGCGCCGCCGAGGCCGCGGTGCCGTTCCCAGCCCTGAGTGCGGCCCAGAGGGAGAGCCACGCGTGCCACCGAGCCCCGCCGGCCAAGAAGCCCTGCCTGCTGAGCCCCCCGTCGCCGCTGCGGCTCACCGATGTCCCCGAGCACGCCTCGGATGACTCCTCCGCCCACGCCATCTCCCTCACGTCCTGCGTGACCAAGGGCATGAGCTCCTGGTCGCTGCCGGGCGACTGCGAGAAGGCCCCGTTCACCATGATGGAGCCCGGGGGAATGTCGGCGCTGACGGGGGACTGCCTGATGCAGCCGAGCCGGACCTGTCTGGGCTGCTTTATTGAATCCAAGGACGGCATTGATGCGGAGCCGGGAATAAGCTTGAAAGTGGGGGATATAAATAGGGATTATGACACCTGTTCGGTCTCTGATATAGGGATTCACTGCATGAGCACAGGAGAAACCATGAGATATGGGGATCAACTGCTTTCAGACCAGCTTTTAAGCTTCCCTATGCATAAATCGAGGGCAGCGGACAAAAGAGATGCAGAAAAATCTGACAGTGATTCAGAGGACCCCACTCAGAAAAATTATTACGAGGGATTACTATTAGACAAATGCAATGGTGAGGAACCTTTACTAACAAATCCCAACCAGGAATGGGGCTATTTCGAATCTTTCATTAGTGAAAGTAAAATTGAGCTGCTTGACCTCTGCTCCAAAAATGAGCTTTCTGTAAATCTGTTTTCTGAGGAAGACGTGGACAATTACATGTTCGATGATGACGATTCCACCTTGGGAAGTGATGTCTGCTCCCTAAAGATTAGATACGAATCTTTCCAGGACAACGTGCGGGAGAAGACCACCACCCTACAAGAGGACGCCCAGTTCAACTTCTTCCCCAGCGTGTTCAGCAACTGCACCAAAAGGGACAGCAGGAGCACCCTGAAAAGGGGGCCCAGCGGTGCCACCGACCCCTCTCAGTTCAAATCTGAGGAAGGCATCATCTGGGGGGAGGAGGAGGAGGATGGCGAGGAAGAGGACGGCGAGGAGGAGGGGAAAGCTGCCTTAAATAAATCTTGCAACAGCACAGAGATGGTGCAGTACGTGGGCTCCAAGAGGAGCCACTTCTTGGACTCGGTGAATTCCACGGAGGACTCCGGGGAGTTCAGTGATGACAGCACTTGCACGGAGTCCTCCTACGACGTGCTGCGGGACATCAAGGACTGCAGCCGGTACCTGGCCCGGGACCACTCCGGCTCCTTCATCCAGCAGAACTACGGGTTGCGGGCGAAGAGGAAAGTGCGGTACAGCGACGACTACCTGTACGATGTGGACTCCATCGAGAACGAGAAGATCCTGGACAAGAAGGAGTGGCTCCCGGATGGGCCCAAGGAGGAGGACGACGACGAGTGGTGCCCCAAGAAACGGCGAAAAGTCTCTCGCAAGGAGCCCCCCGTGATCATCAAGTACATCATCATTAACAGGTTTAAAGGGGAGAAGCATATGCTGGTGAAGCTCAGCAAAGTGGATGCCAACGAGACAACTGTTACTCTGAACGAGGAGCTGCTCAGCAAATACAAGAAGCTGGCCCCACTGAAGGGCTTCTGGCAGGAGAGGCAGCAGAGCCGGCTGGATTTGCTCAGATCGTCTCTCTACCACAAGCAGAATTTCTATCTTAACGGCTCAGATGCTTCGTTCCTCCCTCACCCACGGAAGCGAAAATGCAAGCTAGCAAACAGGCACCGGATTCAAAGAATTAAAGCCATCGAGCAATCAGTGAACAAGCTGGGCTCTTGCTCCTCTGATCACAAGCAGCCTTGCAGCAGTAAGGAGGACGTGGGCCTGAAAGGGCTGCCGGCGTTAGCCATCGCCACCCCCAGCTGTGCCAACGGATTACACGTCCACGACATCGCGGGCATCGCCGCCGTGAAATGCAAATCGCAGGAACGGGAGCACAAGGGGACGGAAAGGAAAGTGCTCCGCAGGATCAAATTCAAAAGTGAGGCCAGGTTGAAGTGCAAGAAGATCAAAGCTGCTGCCAGTACAGTGGAGGACTCGCCAGCACCGGAAAACCAGGACTCTGCAGCGCGTCTGAAGGACGAAAACAGTCCCTGTGTTTCAGACAGCTCCCATCTCCCGGAGTGCCACGAGGATAAGGTTGCTAAAAATTCTCCTTTCCTACCATCCACCTCCTCTTCAGACAAGCCTCTGCCATCTGCTAATATCACCACCAATGTACCCCTGATCCCTGGAGGGTATCTGCAGACGTTGTTAGATGCTTCGGATTTGTCGAGCAACACCGGCATCCCATACTTCGCCCAGCACCCCTCCGAGCAGCCGCAGCACCCACTCCCCAGCATCGTCCCGCCAGAGAAGCCCTTCCCGGCCCTGCAGCCGGCGCAGAGCTGTGTGCTCTCCCCGCCCTCCGAGTCGGAGCTGCAGCAGTCGCCCGGCCACTTGGAGATGGAGCAGAGCAGCTTCGGCAGCCTGTGGCCGGCCAAGGCCGGCAGCGACCGCCAGGGCTTCCCCGGCGACCTGCCGGAGGCAGCCGGGCTGCCCGGAGAGTTCGGCGGCGGAGGCGGCGCCCCGGGCACGGACGGGCTCCCCGCCTCTGGATACACTCAAGTCAATCTGAATAGCGGCAAATTGCTATACCAAAAAAATTACATGCCGGATAGCCAACAAGTGCAGTCTGATGATTCTTATCAGTCATGTCATTTTAATAATGGAGAGGGGCGCTTTCATTTCCAACGAGGTACACTAAGTACAGATGATGGCAGGCTCATTAGTTTTGATTCAGTGGGTTCATTGTCAGTTAGTTCTAGTAATTACAGTTCTTTAAGTTTAAAGTCTTGTGAAAAGGACGGCGAGGATGATATTAATGATGATTTCTTGGCCCACTGCAGTCCCAAGTTAGTGATCCAGCAGAGCATAGATGAAATCACCCCTTTGAAGGAGTCCACGGACCTTTTAGACATTTCCAACTTCACGCCTGATAGGTTCCGCCAGTCGTCGCTTTCAGAGATGTCCCCTCCCGACACTCCCAACCTGTCCCCGCAGATAGCTGGCTCCGATGCCAAGCCTCTGGGCACCCTGAAGGGCTTTCAGGAGAGCCCCCAGGCCGCCCTTAACAGCTCTGAGAAGGTCAAGTGGAACTGTGGGGTCCTACAGACTGAGGATCAGACAGATAATGGGTTTGCTTTAAATAATCACCAGTTCCAGTTCCATATGTTCAACGATGAAGATTCTGTCAGCCTTCTCGAAAAGAGTCCATGCTTGTCAACATTTAATGAGCCATCTGGTCAAATTAGCACCAATAGCAAAGTGTCAAAATCGAAGAGGAAAAGTTCATCCAGCAAGAATGTGGGTACAAACCAAAGCTCTTCCCAGAAAGCCACCCGGAAAAAATCGCCCAAAACCAACAAAGGAACCGATAAGCCACAAGGGAAAAACTCCAGGCAGGCACCCAAATCCACGAGGAAAGGGAAAAACGTGGCGGGAGTCAACGGCGAGAAGGTTCCGGCCGTTGGTGGCAGGGCAGTCCCTCAGCTGAGCACGGTGGCCACGGCCACCAAGGGCCTGGCCGAGGGCGCTCCGCACTGCGGCCCGGCCGGGGTGAAGCTGGGCAAGCACAACGGGCTCTCCGGAGAGTGGGCGCTGGGAAAAGAGGGGGGCACGGGCTGGTCAGAACCCAGCCTGGGCAACGCCACCAGCCTCCTGGACGACGATCAGAGGGAGTTCGAGGAGCCTTCCAACATCCTGTCCAACATCGCGTCAGGAATGGCCGACGTCCAGAGGTTTATGATGGCCTCCATCGAGCCCTTGTGGGGGCCTGTGGGCCACAACAGCGTTCCAGACATATTCCGGTCGCCGGAGTCCAACAGCCTGAAACTGAAAACTCTTAAAATTTTGGCAGGGACGTCCCAAGAGTCGAAGAAGAAGGCGAACGGTGGCTCTCCGGGGGCAGCGAAGAACCACAAGTCAAACAACAAGGGCTCAAGCAAAAACGGCAAAGCCGCAACCTGCGACCCCGGTCGCCCCAACTGCTCGACTGGGTTCACCACGGACATTCACGCTCCCTTTTTTGATAAAAACTATAGTAACCTGAGCACTTTAGGCAATAATGGACCTACCCATAAAAAACTCTACCGTCATAAATCCAGTTCGAAATCGCTGCGGGATGAGAACTGTAAAATCAAGCGGACGGACCGCGAACAGCCCCACAAGGACCCACCCGTGACAGCTGCTTTTGAGAAACTGAGGTAATGCTGCACCAAACTGGCTGGAATGCCCCTAACCTCCCTCCCACCTGCTAGGCCCGCTGTTCCTCAGTTTTTCCTTCCTGAAAGCAAAAGTTGCATGAAAAAAAAAAAAAAAAAAAGACATTCCCCTTTTACAGTTTTGGTTGGTTTTGGTTTTGGGGTTGGTTTCTTTTTTTTTTGTTTGTTTGGTTTGGTTTTTATTATTATTTTTAAATGCATGAAAATACTTATGACTTGCAAGCTACCTAAAAGAATGACCAATTTTCTGGCTTGGCTGGGGTTAAAAAAACTAACAAGGCTACTCTTTTCTGCTGTTTGGCTTCTTCAGTTTTTAATTACTTCTTTATTGGGGAAAAACAAAAACAACAAAAAAAACATGATTACACGATCTTTTTAATGATTTTGAGGAGGAAAGACTTTTTTTTTTTTTTTTGGAACATTTTGTAAAAAATAAACCACAAAAAAAAAAAAAAGAGGTTCTGCATCCAAAAGCCAAGATCTTGAAACTTAAAGGCTCTTTACTTTGCAAATGAGAACTTGTTCCTAACTGAGCTTCACGTGGCAATTTTTGAGTGCTTTCTGGCCCCCTCTGCTGTTGTATCTCCTAACCTGCATCATCTAAAGCTGCATCTTCTCTACCCGCCCGCCTTTAGCACGTTCGCTCCGTCGTGGTGACTCCAGACGAGCTAACTAAGATGGCATCAAATGTTTGATTTTTTCCTGCAGGGAATCAGACTCCATTCTTCTTAAAGCAGAAACAACATTTTTGGGTTTTCCTGTATTTGAAGAAGAGACTCCCTTTTCTAGAAAGACGGTTGATGTTTGGTTCTTTTCTTACCATTTCTTTTTCAGTTGGGTTTGTTTTTTTTTTCCCGTCGGTTCCTTTTCGAAATCTGCCTTGTGGTCTGTTGAAATGTAAGTGCTGAAATGAAGAGTTTGAAATTGTGGGAATTTTATTATTTGAAAGCGAACCTAATCTGGTATTCTCTGTGAAAGACTGTTTTAAAAGTCATACTGTTGTACAGTAGTTTATGCACTATTACCCACAACAACAAAAAATTGTGCCAAACTATGAACAAGTGACTGTATTGTATATATTTTTACTTCTCTATCAACATTGGGTTGTGAGTGTTTTCTGCAGCTATGCCTTTTGGTTTTACTAGAAACATTCCAGTTGTTAAGTACTAACCACCCCCCTTCGAAAGCACCTGTAACTCACGATGAAAACGATCTTGTTCACTGATACAACTTACCAAAAGTTTTATGGACATGACTAAAAGTGTGCCAAATTTACTTACCTCATTTCATGGATTCACCCTGTGGTTTAAAGCTCATAAAGGGAAAAAAAAAAAGGAAAAAAAAAAAAGAGAGAAAGTTTAAAAAAAAAAGGGAGGGGAAGGAAAAAGGAACTTTGAAAGCGATGCTGGGAAATGGTAACATCCTCTCTTTGAAACCACGAGCGGATAAACTTAATGGTGAAATGTTGAGTTTCATTCTAGGAGAGAGTTGCAATGGTGGAGGAGTTCAGAAAACCACTGACGGTAAGTTTGCCAGGAACTCAAGTGTCTGCATCTAGAGACTACAGAACAGCTGCTTTTCAAGTGTCTGTTTTCTTAAAGCAAAACCTGTAGCTGAAGATCATTTGAAATGCAAAGTTACATTGCTAATTCTTTGTATCTCAGTTTTATATATTTTATAAGAACCTGGGATAAATTCTAAAATAGGTATAAAAACAGAACTAATACATTTCATACATTGATTGCTATTTACTTTTCCTTTGAGTAGTTTCTTAAACATTTTTGATGCAGAGCCTGTCAGAAGCGCTCTCCCATCATAGCTTTGGTGTTTCCTCAGTGTCTAACCTTGCGATGCCAATATATAGTTTGAACTTTCAAAAGCAAAGTAATTCATTTTAAATACAACTCTGAACCTTTTCTTTGATTCAGTTCATAAAAAAAAAAACCAACGGAGCTATTTGTAATCTCACCGATCAGGGCCGGATCATCCATGACTGGACTTTATTAAGACAGCGTTAAGTATTGAATGCTAAATGTATTCTCAAAAGGCCTTATTTGTAACCCTACTCACCACACCCTTGCCCTCCACGAGAATAACAAACCCGACCAATATCTATTTTCCTTGTGCAACTGAGAGCCTGTGAGTTTTGCTGCTGATTTCTTACGAAAAGCCTTGATATGCAAGAGCCCTGCGAACTGGGAGCGATTGGGAGCAGAGGGATGCGAGGCTTGGACGTGATTATGCAATAGAAAACGATGAGGAAGAGGAGCCTTAATAAAGCATGGGACGGCTCACGTTGTCGATGTGCTCACGAGCAGAGATGGTTCCCACGATGGCAGGACTGGGCTCAGGTTCCCTTACTTAGGAGGTCGTTTTCTGCCCACGCGCAAGGCGAAGCAGCAGGAGTGGTTTAAGTTAATTTTTTAGCAAAAACACCGGAGCGAGCACTTGTAATCAAAGTGGAGATGCAGAGTGTTGGTTTGAATCAAAATGGTTCCAGCACTTGCAGGTGTTGAGGTGTAGCTGAGGCTCAGCTCTGTGATCCCAAAGAGAACAGCTCAGCAGTCGTGTTGTGCTTTATTTAACAGATGAAAGAAAGAACTCTGGGAAAAAAAAAAAATTAGAAACCCCATCCTTTCAGTTCATTTTTTTCTTGGAATAAATGCTGGCATTGCCCGGAGTGCTCTGGATGAGGGTGGTCCCTGGGTATCTCACAGGGTGCATCATCCCACCCCAGCTCTGGCTCCAGGAGGGAGATCCAGAAGATGTTCAGGATTTATTTTGGAGACAAGAGCTGAGGTAGGGCTCCATCCGCGGGTGCTGGGCTTGCCTGCAGCCACCGTGCTCTCCCCACTTCCCCAGCAGCTCTTTTCTATCCGTAGGCTCATCAGATACTACAAGCTCCAGCCACTGCTGTGGTGTTGGCACATCCCATTTTTTACAGCGTTCCTCCCATGTGCTGCAGGATGAGGGGCTGGCATCTCCCTCCTTTCAGATGTTCTGGCTGCTGCTTTTACGGAGACAGATCAAGTCCAGGGCTGGGATGTGGCACAGACCTTCTTTTGACTTCAAACCCTTATATGAAAGCACATTTCACCTGGCCTGCACTGTGCTTGTTGTGCTCAATGTTATGAATATGGGACTTGTAATAAAACACCTTGTACAGGAGTGGATAGCAATATTTATTGCATTTGAGAAATGTGCAATAGGGCATGAAGATCAGGCGTAAAACATATCGACTATTTTATTATGTCTCAGCGATCCATGAAAACCCAGCTCAGTGTTTCAGGACGGTGGTAGTCACAAATACCAGCTGCCTTGTTGCTCTCTCTTTTATTCCTGCTGCTCTGATTTCACTGCCATCTTTGGTGGTCATCCCATCTCCACCCCAGAAGTCTCTGTTAAGCAGCCTGGGTGCCTCATGGTGTGGCACTGGCCCTTCCCGGGGTTTGACAAAGTCATCCCTCTGCTGCTTCACCCCAAAATTTGGAAACTGTCTTGAGCCAACCATTTACCCTCTTCTCTCTTGATCTTCATGGAATATTTGGGTTTAAAGGGACCTTTAAAGGTCATTTAGTCCAACCACCCTGTAATGAAGAGGGACATCTTCAACTAGACCAAGTTCCTCAGAGCTCTGTGTGAGTGACCTTCAGCGCTCCCAGGGCCATCCCTGGCAGTCACAGCTTCTCTGGGCAACCTGTGCCAGTGTTTCACCACCCTCATAAAAAATTTCTCTCTCAGGTCCTTCTCCGCAGGGCTGCTCTCAATCCCTTCATCCCCCAGCCTGTGTGGATTCCAGGGATTGCCCCATCCCCAGTGCAGCACCTCTTATTTGGCCATGTTGAACCTCACAAGTTTCCCATGGACCCACTTCTCGAGCTTGTCCAGGTTCCTCTGGCTGTCACTCCGTCCCTCAGGCGTGTCAGCCACACTGCTCAGCTTGCTGTCATCTGCACGCTTGCTGAGGGTGACTCGTTCCCACTGTCTGCATCACTGGTGAAGATACTGAACAGCACCAGTCCCAGTAGGGACCCCTGAGGGACACCACTGCTCACTGATATCCATATGGACACTGAGCTGTTGGCTACCACCCTCTGGATGTGATCATCCAACCAATTCCTCGTCTTCTGAACAGTCCAGCCATCAAACTCATCTCTCTCCAGTTTAGAAAGAAGGATGCTGTGGAGGACTGTGTCGAAGGCCTTACAGAAGTCCAGATGAATGACATCTGTAGCACTTCCCTTGTCCACTGATGGAGTCACCCCCATCAGAGAAGGCCACTGGGTTGGACAGGCAGGACTTGCCTGTGGTGAAGCTGTATAGGATGTCCCAAACCTTGTCCTTCAGGAGCCTCAGCAGAGCTTCGGGGAGGGTCTGTTCCATGATCCTCCCAGGCAGAGGTGAGGCTGACAGGTCGGTAGTTCCCAGGGTCCTCCTTTTTATACTTGTTCAGAATGGATGCAGTGTTTTGCTTTTCTCATTCTCCACGACTTCACCTGACTGTCATGACTTTCTAGATGCCATGGAGAGTTGGCAGCTACATCAGCCAGTTCCCTCAGGACTGTGGGATGCATCTCATCAGGTTCCATAGACTTATGTACGTTCAGGTTCCTCAGGTGGTCACAGACTTGATCTTCTCTCACAGTGGGAGGGACTTTGCTCCTGCAGTCCCTGTCCTGTGGTTCATCCACTCAAGGGTGGTGGGAAGAGAGGTTGCCTCAGCCTTCTCTTCTGTTGATACCCCTTTGCCAGTCTTGTTGCACCTTCTTTGACCCTCCCTTTTCAGTCTGTAGAAGCCCTTCCTGTTATTCTTGCCATCTCTTGCCAAGTTCAGCTCCGTCTGCCCCTTGGCCTTCCTCACCCCATCCCTACACAACCTGGAAGCATCCCAGTACTCTTCCCAGGATACCTCTCCCTGCTCCCACTGCCTGTGCATTTCCTCGTGCCCTTCAGTTGGGACCAGCAGGTCCTGACTCAGCCATGCCAGTCTCTTGCCTGCCTTGCCCAGTTTTTTACACCTGGAGACTGAGAGCCCTTGTGCTCTATGGAAAACATCCTGAAAGATCTGCCAGCTCTGTTCTGCTCCCTCGTCCCTGGGGGCAGTTTCCCAGGGGATCCTATTGACTAACTCCTCGCAGAGCTGGAACTTTGCTTTCCTAGAAGTCATCGCCACCTGCCTATCGCTACCTCAAGGTTTTCATCACTTCCCACCTTTGCCTCGTCCCTTACTGTACAAGCTCCTGTTTTCCATTTGCCCTTCTTGGTGCATTTTTGTTTCTCATGGCACAGCTCAGAGCTGTGGCAGGGCTGGGAGGTGGGTCCCATCCATCCCTGCCCACCACCCACACACCCAGGGCTCCCTGTGCCTGCCCGCACTGGCTCCCGTCTCGGCCCATCCTCTTGGCCAGTCCCAGTGCAACTCCCATCCTTCTCACACCTTCGAGTTGGGCTCCTGGCTGAGGTGACAAAGGCAAGCCACATAAAACATGTTTAATCTGCAGCATCTTTTCTACTTTATCTCATTCCGCTCCTACTCTGGCGTGTCCCACTGAGCACTGGTGTTTGGGGCACTTAAAACTGGCAGTGACATTAAAAAGCAGAAACCATCTGCTTCCAAAGCATGGTAATAAAGTCTGTCCAAGAGGAGAACAACACAGGGCAGTGCAGCTCGAGCCCTTGGCTCTTGCTCATCTCAGAGCTGGAGCAGGAGCTGCCTGTGAGCTGGGGAGGGTGGCACTCCCCGCTGTCCCATGGGGTGTGACTGTCCCGGGGTCTGGGAAAGGATCCCTTCTCTGTGCCAGGCACAGATGTCCTGCAGCAGCAGAGCAGGAGCCAGCCCACCCCACAGCCAGCGTTTGCTGGACACACTTGCATGTAGAGGTTTTGTAAATAGAAAAAATATCGCTGATGGGGATCCAGTAAAAACCTATTGGGTTTTTATTTTAAAAAATCTTACCAGGTTTACATCTTGGGTTGTTGGTTTTTTTTCCAAGCATAAGAGGGTGGATGTTTTTGAAAAAATGTCTTGAGAATAATGGCTTGCAGACCAGAGGTAGCCAGGCATTTTGGGAAGAGGAGGAGGAAGAGGAGGAGAAGGAGGGCAGGGGCAGCCACAGGGCTGTCCTGTCCACACTGTGCCATCTGACTGCTCGGAGAGGAAAAGCCAAGGCCAGCTCAGCCTGGCCATGGTTGCTTTGAGAAACCATTGTTGCTCTGTTTGCTCTTTTAAAAAGTCAAGATTGCTGTTAATTTTTTGGCATTATGGCTCAAATGAGCCACCAACCAAAATAAAGATGTTTGAAGCATTGTCATCCTTTACCTGCTGGACCACATTCTTTCCCCAAGCTCCCAATCTAGCCAAGCACTTAGGTGGGAGCTTGCTCCCCAGGGCTCCTGCTCCCCAAGTGCTTTCCTGGCTGGCTGGTGATGTCAAATCCCAAGAAAAACTCCCTTGAAGTCAGTGTAAGTGAGAAGAGATTCAGGTGCGTGGGCTTGGGTTGGTGCAGGATCAGGCCCTCGGTCTTTTCTCACCTCAGTGTGTTGGATTTGCCTGTGCAGCTCCCAGGGGGCCCAGTGGAGGTTGCAGGTTCAAGCCGCTGACATCTGTCTGAGAATGTGCCTCTTTAGCTCTTCAGCGTGTGAAATAATGCAAAAAAAAAAAAAAAAAAAAAAAAAAAAAAAAGAAAAATATATAAAATAAAGTACAATGTCTGTGGTAGAAGCAAGGCTTTTCAAATCTGTTTCTCAGGTAAACAAGTGACACTAATGACAGTGGAGTAACAGCCATCTAAGGGAATTGGGATGTGAAGCAGGAGGGTTCCCTCCATCTCGCAGGACGCTTGGGTTGCCAGACACGTTTACTGAGCCTTTAAACACTTGGTGCAAAAGGAAACGAGAAATCAAATTGGTCTTTTCACTACCCTTCTCTAGCTAGACAGACAGACAGACGTCCATTTCAAAAGCACAAAGGGAAGACTTTAAACCTAGACTAAACCACACACACACAAAAAAAAGAAAACCAAGGTACCAGTGAAACTCCTTTTGTCTCTTACTCCCGGTGGGAAGCAGGGTAGAAATCCAAGGAGCTGCTCTGTTCCGCTGCCCCGGCGCCGGCCGGGCGCCTCGACTGCTGCCTCCAGAGATGTGAATGTACTGCTCCTTGAGTTCCCTTCCATAGAACTAGAGGCACCTCGTTAGGAAGTTGCTCCTGTTTTATGGTGCTAAAGAAAACTTTTATCCCCCCCCTTGAGCATTTAAGAACTATGAAATGGCCCTTTTTATGAATGTAACATATCCATTTCTGTTCCACATTTTACACTGCAATTTTAACATGTTTGGAAATGATTTGCCTTTTTTCTTTTAGAATAAGCTTTATAAATATTCTGTAGAGTCAATTGAAGTATAATTCTTAAGGATCACTCTAAGACGCCTACAAAATCTTGTATATTTTTAAGTGTGCCAATTTGTAAAATATTTTGTAAGTGTATATTTTTCTTAGAAAAGTGCTGTGAAGTGTTTGTATGTGTGAGGTTTCCCTTTTTTTGCACCTTCGGGTGTTAATAAAAGGATGTATACTTAAAAGTTTCTGGTTTTAAAAACCAAAATACAAAGAAAAAAATTAAACTTTTGTTGGGAATTTTGTAATAAAAAGAAATGTTGTGAAAGAGTGTAGTGATATTGTGTAAAGGAAACTGGAAAATTTGTGAGCGCTTTGCTGTTTTATAGATCCTCTTGTAAATTATTCTTGTAATATTTTGGGTTTTGTTGTTCTTGTTGCAAAGGTTTTAAATATTTGTGACTGACTCTGTATGGTGAAAACGTCATATTGTTAACTTGCTGAGTTTTGTTATATTGTTTATGGAATAAATAAAAAAATTAAAAATCTCATTTTAAGATCATGTATGAAGAAGAAATTAAAACTGCCATTTATTGAATATTAGGAATCGGTTTTTAATTGAGAAATGGAAACTTCAAGTCAACACAGAGTTAACCCGTTGCCTTCCCAGGGCGCAGAGATGGGTTTGGGCTTGTCGGAAGGGGAGGCTCTTCCCAGTCCCCTCTGCTGGGGTGTGGATTCCCCATCCTGGCAGAATCCCAGCAGTGCCAGGAAGCACCGCCAGACTGGCCTTTTCCTGGGAAGGAGCAGGTGGGTGCAGTGAAATGCCACTGCCTTCATTTTCTTATAGAAAAGGCATAAAAATTACTTGGTTTTAAAATGACTGTTCCTTCAATTAACCCTTAATGTTGATAGCAACAACGGGGAGGGAAGAGAGGCATTAACTCAGGCTGGGGTGTTCCAAGCCCTGCCAGCAGAAAGCAGGACATGGACACTGTATTAAGCAACTGGATCCCTTGGCAAGGGGCTGGGAAATGATCCCTGAGAGCAGAGCTGGTACCTCACACACAAGCTGCCAGTTCACAGGTGGGTTTCAGATGAGCAAAATGGCACAGGATTTCAGTGCTGCTGCCAGTCCTGCAGATCCCAATGTCTTCACACAATCCCAGAATATGCTCAGCTGGAAGGGACCCACAGGGATCATCGAGTCCAACCCTCAGCCCTGCACAGGCCCAGCCCCAGGAGTGTCCCAGAGGATCCTCCAAACCCTCCTGGAGCTCTGGCAGCCTTGGGGCTGTGCCCCTGCCCTGGGGAGCCTGTTCAGTGCCAACCACCCTCTGGAGGAAGAACCTTTCCCTGAGATCCACCCTGAGCCTGCCCTGACACAGCTCCAGCCATTCCCTGGGGGCTGTCCCTGGTCCCCCCAGAGCAGAGCTCAGTCCTGCCCCTCCTCTGCCCCTGCCCAGGCAGCTGGAACTGCAGGGAGGTCTCCCCTCAGTCTCCTCCAGCTGAACACACCAAGTGCCCTCAGTGTCCTCACCCATCTTCAAATCAAGGCCCTGCACCATCTCTGATGCCCTCTTTGGACTCTCTCTAACAGTTCAATAACACTTGGTATAAGATGTGGGGAGCCCGGAGCAGCGAGTGGGGCGAGCGCTGGGGTGGGGCTGTTGGCCAGGGAAGCCCATGGACAGCTCAGCTTTAAGGACTGAACCTGATCTGGTGCTAGAAGGGTTTGCCTGCCAGTGAGTAAAATCTGTAGAGGGACTGGCCAAGCCCACGGCCACCAAAACCATCTGGTCTATCCTACATGGCATCGGTTCCATGACTGGAAATAGTTCCAGCTCCATAGTGCAAGTGTTGAGGACAGAGTTTTTAGCAGGTCCTCTTGCCACAGGACAAGGGATGATGGTTTTAAACTGAAAGAGGGTAGATTCAGACTAGATCTAAGGAAGAAATTTTTTACAGTGGGGGTGGGGAGGCACAGGTTGCCCAGAGAAGCTGTGGATGCCCCATCCCTGGAAGTGTCCAAGGCCAGGGTGATGAGGACTTTGAGAAACCTGGAAGGCTGATGTTTCTCTGAGCTATTACTGCAGGTTGTCTCCAAAATCAGGGTTATGTTGCTCAAAAGCATTCTCTGGGGACCCTGTTGCAATCTTGTGCTTTCTGCAGGGAGACCCAGCACTGCCACCAGCCCGATGCCACTGCCATGTGGCGGGTCTGTGGTTGGAGTGAGTGGTACCAAAACACACTTAATTAACAGTAGAGCCTTCACATACCTGAGTAATGCCACAGAAAGGGCCTGCTAAATGCTTTTGTGTTGATCTAGGGCATTTATATTATAAGCACATGTAATTAAAACACTCATAACTTCTGGATGAACTGTCATCCCTCGCTGCGTACAGCCCAGTGACTTTTCCTTGTGAGGGAAGCAAAGTCAGATTTTAATTAGAATGTAATTTAATACCACTGGCTTCTCCGTCTTGCCAGTGGGAACTGCCCTCTGGCTGGTGATGGCTGGGCAGGGACAAACCTGGGACACCTCAGCATCCCTTGGGTTGGCCTAACGGCCTTCACCACATCCCGAAGCAGGAATAGGATTTTGCAGCCAATTTCATAGGATGGTTTAGAGCACCTTCACCTCCACTCAGGAGCTGAGCTTTCCCTCTACATTTTCCTGCTTGGTTTTTGCTTTAATTTAATGCACCTCTTGCTGCTGAGCACACCAGGGGAGGATTTGCAATATGCTACAGCCTAAGAAGTTGGAGTGTGAGAGAGGCAGCGATGGGAAAAATGATCCATCAGCACCTCAGCTTTGTTTAACTGCCCAGTGAGTTTAGCAAAACCCCTCAGAAAGGGTCAGAAGTGCCAGCCAGCAGGCCCAGGCTGCATCCCAAGGGCTCACTTTATGCAGTGTTTAGGGATAGTAGATCCACTCTGAAGGGAGATGCTGCAGCCCCAGCACTGCCAAGCATTTCAGTTTGTGTGCCGTGCCAACACCTTGGCTGGATTTCTTACCTCCCATTTCCAAAGGAGAGCCTGGGTGGCCTGCAGCACCATTTTTCTCCTTGCTGGGCCTTTCCTTGAGTTGATAACATCACATCTCAAGGTTTCAAAATGTTTCTTCCCAAGTCTTACCTGTCGGCTGGTGTCTGTCTTGCTAATGAAACCTTCACACTGCACCACCAGCCCAGGGCACATGTGCCACTGGCTCTCCTGGGCTCCTTGGCTGAAACAAGGTGGGAACATTCCCATAAAATCACCTGGTGCTGCACCATTTGCAGGCTTGAGGCCTCTAGGGCTTAAACTGTGGATACATTTTCTGTCTTCATGCAAGAAAGTCAATAGAAAAAAAAAAGGTGAATTGCTTCATTTTGGGTATTCATAAGTGCTTCTCTTCAATATATTTCAAACCTAGAAATATATTTAACTTCCCCACAGCCAACACAGAGACCAAGCCTGCCCCAAACCTCAGATGTAAGCTCTGCAAACCATGCAAAACCCAGCAGCCACACTGGGACTGTCCTTTCTTCCTCCCGGCACAGCTGATCCATTTCCACTGGCAACATCCCATTCCAGAGGATTTCTACACCTCACAAAATTCCAGGTGTGAACTGTCAGAACAGGTGCCATGTGGTTTATGTTAATAAACGCCCACAGGCTTCCTCCCCTCCCAGTTTTTTATGGGATTACACCTATAGCAGCAGCTTTTGCTTTGCAAATATACTTTGTGTCGCAGCAAAAGCATTGGTTCAATAAAGCACTTAAGCATACACTTTATCTTAAGCATGTTGGAGATTACATCCCTCTTTAGCAAACCGTTTAAGTATGTGCTTAATTTAAGGATTTAATTAAGGATTTTAATTGTAGACTTCAGTATGTGCTTACCTGCTTGGCTGAATATGGGTGAGATTACTACATGCTGAAGATTTCTACATAAAGTAAGTGACTAATTCTGTCTGAATGAAGATGTTACATTATTCTCACACAAGGCAGTTAAAATATAAATAGGAAAAAGGCAAGTGGCAGTTAACTCGATTCTTCCAGCTGGAAGTAGCATCCACGACCAAATCTGAGTTGATTAAAATCTAATATTATTAGTTATAACCTCTAAAGTGGCATTACAGATCAACAGAAAGCAGCACCTTAAAAATGAGTCTCCAGCTCATAAGCTTTAATTATGAGAAAGGAAGGATTCTCCCTCTCATCAGTGACAGCGACCTTGAAATGGAAATGGCCACCAGCTAATGGGCTGTGGTGTCATTTCCCCAGCCATTACAGGGTTTAAGCTGACTTCCTAAGGAAAGAGAATTTCTGCAATTGCATTGCTAGCCTGTCTTTTGGACAATTTC